GTACAGCAAGCCATTAGGGCTTATAACGAACGATACCATTCAACAGTTAAATTCAAACCATCAGAAATACAGAATCGTATGGTAGATTTTGAAAAGATTAAATTTAATTTAGAGACAGTAAAAACTACAAAAATTAACAAAATAAATGAACAAAGGGAACACTATGAAGAAACCAGATCTACCGGGTTTATCAAGAACTACAAGGCAGTTAGACACAAAGAGCGACCAAAATTCAAAAAATCTAAACTTAATAATATACATATATCAAACATTAACCGACCTCAAAAATTTTCAGGCATGGAAAATACTGACGATGGTCATATTACTGATAACATCTAGTTTAGCTTCATTGGAAGTTAATAGTATAACAGCAGAAACGTGTTTCGTAAATATAAACTTAGATGAATCAGACTTAGTCACAAAAACACACATTATTGTACACATTATTAACATACAAGAAATTTATGACACATTACACAATATATTTGGAATTATAGAACATCTACATTCAAAATACAGAACAATACTACAGCCAGAAATTACTTAACTTATTACAAAAACTAAGACTAGTACACCTAAGGACAAAAGAGCTAAACGTGTGCTAATAAATGCCGTAGGAATTACATCAAATTGGCTTTTTGGCACAATGGACGACACTGACCGACAAAATATAGAAAAACAATTAGAATCCATAACATACAACAGCGACAGGTTGATTCACAATTTCAACACAAGTTAAAAAAATACAGCTAAAACTAATTATTCCCTTACCAAATAAATTTTATAGAGAAATTGATCATACCCAAGAAACAATTTTTGAGTACAATGGTTCTATCATTATGAAGAATCAAAACCGTTAAATGAACTTAAACTCAGCAAACATTGTACTTTTGTAAGCTCATAAATAATATTGTCACAGAAATTAGAGAAATTGATGAAGAAACCATTTTAATAAAAAATCCAAGAAGTATTGAACTAAATCAAACTTGTGATAGTAGAAAATTAATTTTATCAAAAAATGTATTGATTCATTTTAATAACTGTTCATTAAAAATATTAAATCACTATTCAAATATAAAATCAAGTTTAAAAGAAATATTCTATTATCCTATAAGTGAAAATGATATAAATTTTAAAAATCTTAAAACACAAATCACATTTGATGAAATTGTCTCAGGAAATTTTAATAATGAACAAAAAATAAAAGCCTTACATTATCATAAGAATGTGTCATATATAATTAATAATTATAACAATTTTAATATTGTTTATAGCAATTTTTGTTGGAGTATTTGCATTATGTAGAAAATTTAAGAAAAATTTAATATTAATAAAATTCAGGAGAATTCAATTCTTAACGGGGGAGAAGTTACGTATAACACCGTTCTTAAAGCAGATGCAACACTTCCTGTTATTTAAAATTTTAAATTAAAAATAAAAAAGTTCTCATAATATAACAAAAGAATGCAGACACTCCAATTACAAAATTTGATGTCTGATATCAACAAAACGGTACAATCCAAATATAGACACGTTTTGTCGATATCAGCAATTTTACATTAAAATAATAAAACTTAGTTATAAGTACTTAATTGTAAATTTAATCATGGTTTATGGTTGAACAATAAAGGTTGATTTTTTTAATCAAATTGAATTTTAAAAGTGTCTTTTGTTTGAATAAAATTAAAAAGTGTTTTTTTTTTAAATATTAGTACGAAAGTACATTTGTCGGGCGTGTTTTTACATTTTTGACCATTGTGAAGAAAATATTCAACCGATTTATTTGAAATTTAATATATAACATAAGCCTTTCTCGACCATCCGCGAAACTTCCTAATTTTTGGAAAAAATCAGGTGTCAGCAACTGGACGTTTACTACAGGCGACATTTTTGCGTATATAAAGAGAAATAATCAACCGATTTCATTGAAATTTAGTATTTTTTCGTATTAAAATGAAGATATAGCTTAAAAAAAATCAAATTTTTCGTATTAAAATGAAGATATAAATTTTTTGAAAAGATCAGGGTTCGAAAACTGCCCTGCGGGGCGATTTTACATTTTTTATCAGATCTACGGAACGGATTGATGAAATTTCTTGAAATTTGATATTTGGGTTCTGGTTGTTACAGAAACTGACTGGCGAGAAACATTTCAGGGACCAGGATCAGGGATTCGGGTAGCACAAAACGAAACTCTACTAAGAGCCAAATTTACGTTTTTCTAGGTATGTTAACTATAAGCTTACTAATGCCCTAAAATTGGAAAGAAGTATTTAACAGTGATTTTTATAATATTCTGTAATACTTTCACTTAACTATTGCGGTAGGTTATGTGCTGGTCACATCAGATTTTATTTTAATAATTTCCTAAACGGTAAGTTTTTTTCTTTTGAATTTGTTCGTTTAATTTTTTTTTTGTGTTTAACATAAAATTAATATTAAATTTTGATATTTTTAATAGAACTAAATCCAATGAGGAATAAAACTGTAATGATAAGTTCTTATCAAATTATAAAAATTACATCACGTTCGATAAGTTTACGATTTTTTTGGTGCAACACTTATCATTTTTACTTATCAAAAAATGATAAGTTGTAAAATTGATTAGTGAATGAAATTTGAAAAACTTTGGTGCTGATACAGACTGACATTTCCGCTATGCTCTCGTAGAATGATCTCAAGCTACTTCGCCTAGTCTACGGATTTCCTCGGAAATTTTAAAATATTTGATGTGAAAAGTTTGGCGTACATCATATAAAATGAATCTGTTGTGTAAAATCAGATTTGTAGATGTAGTCTGATGTCTAACTTACACCTTACATTGTTTAATCATATATCTTCAAACAAATAAATGTTCGCAAAGATTTATAAACAAAATGGAAAGTAAATTAAAAATATCAAAAAGTTTGAGAAAGTAGCATTTTTTACTACAGCTTTTGCTAAATTTTAGATGCGAAAATCGTTGTATTTATTTGCGAACAAAAATTTAATAAAACATTTTCAGTTGATTCACTTGCTTTAAACTCGATTTGTTTCGAGGTTTCAAACTAAAAAGCTCCAGTCCATTTGAATATTTCAACGTTCTAATATTCGTTGAGTAAATAAAATTTTGTCTAAGTTTAAAGTTTTGGTTAAGGCTTCATATTTTCAATCAGACCAACAAACTCAGGGAGTAAATCAAAAACAATTTCAAAACTTGTATGCATAATGCTAGGGGTGTTGAAAATTGTTTGAATGAGGAGGTTAAATTAATATTCTTAGCTTTAGTGGTACTACATTTTTTTTTCTTGATATAAAATTCGAGTATAAAAAAAAGTTGGTTGGTAAATTCGATTGAAAATTGTATTTAAAAAAATTATTTCAATTTTTAATACATCCGACTTTTGTTTTTTTATAAATTGGGTTTAACAAGAAATTGAAAGAAAAGCAAAAAATAATTATTATAAACTCGATGGCTTTAAGAACCATAATACACAAAATGAGAGTTGTAAGGAATACTTAAAACTTTACCTACATGGCTTTTAGAACCATAATACACAAATGAGATTTGTAAGGAATAATTAAAAATTGCAATCGGAGTCACTGTCCTGGTAAGTAAGAAAGAGCAACTCTCATTTTCCTTTTATGATTAAAAATAATAAAATAATAATTAAATAAAAAATAATTTCAATAGAAAAAAAATTGAGGAAAAACATACGAACTATATCCAAATTGACTCGAGTGAAGGAGTTAGGAAAATTTTTTTTTAAATTAATTATATTTTCAACTTGACACCACAGTTACTTCCCATATCTTGAGTTAACTTACCCTATGAGAAAAAAAAGATAATGAAATGACTTAAAAATAATGAAATGCTTTCAGTAACATATAAAACGTTGAAGGCGAAGGTTGTACTTGTTTTTCCGCTGTTTCAAGAATTTTAAAATAATTATGAATGAAAATATTAATATATTTTTTTGATTTTTCAAATATATTTTCTAAATTTTACCTGCTTTATAATAAGTGTGAATTTATTTTAACATATCTTCTCAAAAAATAGCCACTTCGATTTAAAAAAACCCTTATAAAATAAGGTCGTGCTTTCAAGTTCAGTGGCATTCAAAGAAAAAAACAGGAACGAAGCCAAAAATTCGTAACATTTCGTAAAAAAAATTGAGTATTGGGACTTGTTAGATGTAAAGACATTATTAAAATATTAAACTCTGTTTATACGTAGAAAAAAGAAAAATATAATGAGAAAACATAACAATGGAATTTTTGTGTTTCAACTGTTTATTAAATATTGTATTTTTGCAATCTGAAAGCTATGACACTGTGGAAAATTTTTGGTATTAGGTGGAACTTAATACTTTGTTATGAAAACATTTTGTTTACATAATGGAATTGAAGGTTTCATCACCATGAATTTAATTTTTTATCTATTTAAATTTTTTATACGAAATTTACATCTGCATTCTCTCAAATCACAAAAAACAATGATTTTTTTTTCCCACTTTTAGTTTTTATTTAATTTTTATTATGAAAAATATTTTAATACCTTAGTAAAATTCCTATTTTATTATATATGTTCTAAGAATGATTTTTTGCACATATCAGGTAAGATTTTTGGTCCTCCATTGTTATATATGGTGCTGCTCTATCTAATTTATCTATATCTATAAAAAAAATCTATCCATATCTATATATGTATGTATATAAAAACAAAACCAAAACTTCTTATAACCCCTTCTTAGTAATAATCCGTTCACTCGATCATCATGAAATCAAAAACTGATCTATCCCAGAATGGACTATGCTGAGATATTAATATCCTTTGTATTGTTTATTTCGCAATCATTTCTCCTTTTTATGTAATAATTTATTTTGGAGTGTGAGACCAAATCATGGAGGGCCAGATATTGAAAATGCTATATTTATTGAAGAAAAACAGGACGTCTTTTCATAAAGTTAAAATTAATTTTATCTAATATTATTAGTAAATCTTGGAAATTTACTTCTAGATTGACGGTATTCCATCTCTTGCTTCATCAGGTCCGATGGATTTCCTGGATAGACTCAATGCTCTTGAAAAAGAACAGGCTGCTCTTCGCAAAAGTAATTTTATTTTACCTTTGTTTATTTAATTACGTTTTATAAATTTAACGTTATATAATTTTTTTTGTTTTATTTTAGTGATGTTATACTTAGAACAAATATGCTCCGAATCAACTGAACGCATAAGTATTTTGGAAGCGCACATTGGCTTATAATTTAATTCTTACATAAAGTTTTGTGCGTAAAAAAATGAGTGAATTTGCTCGTGAAAATTTTAAATGATTTGGAATGTTAATAAAAATATAGTTGTGCTTTCATTGACTAATTTTAAAGGAAACAAGAGTATAACTGTTTTCACAAATTAAAACTAAACTCAATGAAAATTCACATTTTCTTATAAACAATAAAGTAATCAAATTTATTTATGTATTATTCTGCCTAAGGAGAACTCTGATTGCAATAAAATTCTTGCAATATTTCTTTTAGGTATTGATATTTTGCGAAATATCGACCACAACTTAGTAAAATATTTGTCTTTGACTTAATTTGACTTAATTTTTACCTTGTTTATAATCTGTCAACATCTTTTATCACGATTATCTACCTCGTTGCGGTGTATGGACCCGAGTAGGGTCAAGGCATCTCGGGAGTCATCTCTAGATGAGACCTGAAACCAAAAGATAATCAAACTTTTCACAACATAACCCTCCTATTGATTGCTATCACTTCAAACTCTCGTGGACCGCATTAAGATGTTATACAACCTATGTCAATAATCAGCTTAGTCGAGGTCCAGACAAATAGCCCAGTCGCGAACGGAGTACCAGATACCTGGCGGCCTTCGGATTATTTAGACTTGTCTAAATACGGTGGATCTTTGCCTAGATGGACTTCCTTTCTCAGCAACTCGTGAGACTAGAATTGAGAGAAATATTATAAAAAACTTGCCAACCGGCAACTGGACAAGCTTGAAGAGAAAAACAGCAACTATATACAGGTCCTTATTTTGAACAAGGAATTGCAGAACGGGCGGCCGCAGTCGTTCAGAGCAAGAAAGAGGCTGTAGAGTCTTTTGCTCAGACACCGTTTCCATCCAAAGCAAAAAAGCTAGATGGTGCGGGTCTGATAGATAACGGTGGTACGCATTTAGATCTGGAGGGGCCTTGGTCGATCTGGACCTAGATAATGATGCAGAGAAAACGTTGGTGGAGGTTGACGAAAGCAGTAATTTTTCGAATAACCCAGATCAATCTTCACCACTATAAAGCGGCACCAGTTGCATTTCCTACAAAAGAGCGGAGATGACACAGTCCTGGTCCAGGAAGCTTGGCTAGCGGGAGTTAGTATTTGCGCGCTCAGGGTGGCCTATCACAGACTGCTTTATAGCGGCGGAAAGGTAAGGTTGTGCATATTAATTAAAAGTAGTTTAAATGGTTTTCTAGTGCATTTGTGGAGCATTGAAGATTTTACTGCAGTCAGCTTTGATTTGGTCGGTGATTGCCAGGGAGTGCTTCCAGCCAGTAATCAGAGGGACTTGATGGAGAAGGCACTATCTCTCAACACAGGTTGGAAGGCACTATCTCTCAACACAGGCGACGCTAACGTGGATTATGTGATATGGAAGAGTTTGGATATGGACACAAGAGCTGAGTCGCTTTTTGATTGTTATCTTGGTAACTAGCCTCATACTATGTAATAGACGCTCAGAGCCCACTTTCGTTACTAAAAATAGGCATTAAGTTATAGATACAGCTATTCCTCAACTACTAACAAAACAAAAAACTTTTTCAACAATAAAAAACATAGTATTACTAACACTTCTAAAACTAACTCAACTCAGACTGAAACAGATCGTGCAGTTAACAATATGTTGGGTTCATCTAGCCAAAAATTTCGAAAATACAATAACTTTGTTTATTCTCATACAATTAATCGGGATGACGACATAGATAATAATATTAATTGCAACGGGAATGTTAAAACTAATAATAATAGCAATATTAATATTAATAATAATAATAATAATACTAATAATAATAATAATAATAATAATAATAATAATAATAATAATAATAATAATAACAATAATAATAACAATAATTATAATAATAATTATAATAATAATAATAGTGATAATTATAATAATATCAATAACAGTAGTACCAATAATAGTGCTAATAATAGTAATAATAATAATATTAACAATGATAATGATAATAATAGTAGTAATAATGTTTTAAGTAGCAACTTTAACAATGATAAGAATAATGATGATAATAATAATAACAATAATAATAATAATAATAATAATAATAGTAATACTAACAATAATAATAATATTAATAATAGTAATAATAATAATAATAGTAATAATAATTATATTAATGATGATGATAATAATAATAATACTAATATTAACGACAATGACCAGGAGACAGCGTCTACGCGTTGTCTCGTTTCCGTGAACCTAGTGTTCTGAATAACGTACGCTTATTCTTAGCATATATGCATGCCCAAGATAACAATATCTGCATGGAAGGCAAGACAAAAACTTATTTAGGGGTTTCAATTAGACAAGAAGGCTTGCCTAACAATTATAAGGATCTACTAGAACTGTTTCTTAAATACTATGATTCTGAGGGGATTTCGACTAAGGATGCTAAAGCTGACTTAGAAGCTTATCGGCTTCAACTTGGGAGTAAAAGACGTGAATATCTGCAGAAAATAAGGGAAAACGAGCATAAGTTTTTTCGTCCCTGCACGTCAAAATAATCTCATACGTTTAATTGACAATACCAATAAGAGTGTTAAACTCCTTAATATGTTTTACCATAATTGCAGTGGTTTGAGAGGTAAACTAAAAAACCTTTTTATTGACGCCAAATCATGCAATTTTAATGTTCTAGTCTTCACTGAAACCTGGTTAAACGATTCATTCAAAAATGAAGAAATACTTGATAGCACTTGGTCCGTATATAGAAATGACCGTGATTATAATTCCACGGGTCAATCTAGGGTGGGCGGAGTTTTAATCGCCACCAATAATCATGTACCAAGTCAATTGGTATCTTCTTGGTTTTTTCAACTTTTTACCATCAAATTATTAAAGTTCACTCAGGTAAAAATTATACCTACATAGGTGTGGTGCACTTTCCCCCAAATTCTGACGAGTCCTCATACAATGATTTCTTTGCAATAAGTAACGATATATTCACAATAATGAATGAGGATGATAAGATTGTAATTTTGGGTGATTTCAATCGACCATCATTGTCTTTTGTCATCGATGATTTTGATAACCAACTTCTTCCTATCAATTTCATGGATGACATAGATTTTGACCTTATTAGTACTTTTTATGGGAACGACTTACAGCAGGTTTTTCGTTACCCCAACAGTAGAGGTAATTGGTTGGATTTAGCATTTTCTAATGCTTATGACACCATTAATGTTCGTTTTGCCACTGACGAAGAAAATCTTTTCCGAAACTCAATCCATCACAACGCGTTGGTTTTAGAACTACCCTATTCCAACCATAAGATCTCAAATACTTACAATAACGAAATTGTATACGATTTTATGAACGCTGATTACCACGGTATCAATTATGCCCTTAGTTTAATTGATTGGGAAATATTGTTGGAGCAGCATAATTTAGATAATATTATGTATGATTTTTATTCCATTATCTTTGAAATAATTGACAACCATGTTCCGAAAATCCGTAGAAAAGACAAATTAAAAGAACCTTAGTTAGACCGTAATTTAAGACATTTACGCAACCGGAGAAATAAATTGTACCATAAAATTAAGCACTCTGGTAATGACAACAACTCACTTATAAATGATTATAATGAGTTGGCGAATGAATTTAAGATTAAGGCAAACGAGGCATATGATAATTATGTCCAAAATATCGGTAACTCAATAATGAGCAACCCTAAAAAGTTTTTCGACTTCGTTAACACTAAACGTAAATCATCAGGTTACCCGATTTCGATGTGTATGAATGGCAAAATGTCTTCATCTCCCACGGAAATTTGTAACTTTTTTGCTGACAACTTCTAGCAAATTTATCGCCTGAGTTACCCTCTAATAATGTTAATTTCAATCCTGCACCCCTTGTTAATAATACCAACCCGCTTTTCGAATACTTTCATTTATCGGTAAAAAATGTTTTTTAGGTAGAAAATGTTCTTTACAATTGTCGCTACACCCTGTCAAACCCTCTTACCTCAATATTTAACAGATCTATATCCAGCGGAATTTTTCCATCAGCTTGGAAAAATTCGTATCTGATACCAATTCACAAAAAAGGTGACAAAACAGCGATAGAAAACTACAGAGGTATTGCTGTTCAGTCTGCTATCCCAAAATTATTTGAAAAATTAGTTACTAATATACTTGCACCGGTCATCAATCCATTATTAAATGATGAGCAACATGGTTTTAGAACTGGTCGCTCGACAACCTCAAATCTTACAGTTTTCACATCTGACGTTCTTTCATTAATGGAAAAAGATTTTCAAGTTGATACGATATATACGGATTTCAGTAAAGCTTTTGACCGCATCGATCAAAATACTTTGGAGCGTAAACTAGTTAATTTTGGTTTTAAGTTCCCTCTACTAGGTTGGCTCAAATCTTACTTCTCGGGGAGAACCCAATTCGTTAAATTCCAGGGGATTAAATCTAAACCTATTCGCGTTCATTCTGGTGTTCCTCAAGGAAGTCATCTAGACCCTATTCTTTTCAACGTCTTTATTTCTGACCTCTCTCATTGTCTATCGGGTATTTCTCATCTAACCTACGCTGATGATTTAAAAATGTACCACGTTATAAATGATATATCTGATACTAACTACCTACAAACGAAATTAGTACTTCTTGATAACTGGTGCAGTGCTAATAAATTAGACCTTAATGTTAAAAAATGTTATATTATCAGCTTTTCACGAAAGCGTTCAATCGTTTGCCAAAATTATTCTCTTCAAAACTCCACCTTAGAACGCGTCGACCACATAACAGACTTAGGTATCATCCTAGATAGCAAATTAAATTTTAATGCACATTATGATTATATGATTTCCAAAGCAAACAAAATGCTGGGATTCATAAAGCGTAGAGCCAGAGAATTTAACAATATCTGTGTTACAAAATCACTTTATTGTTCTCTGGTTCGCTCTATTTTAGAATACGGCAGTATTATTTGGGATCCCGCTTTCACGATTTTTTTTCAAAGAACACTTTCAAAAAAAAAATTCTTGACACTTTATACTAACCATAACCTACCACAATTTTTAAGTAATTCATTGACCTAATTATAGTTTCTTTTATTGTCATAAGTAGAAACATTTTTGACTTTTTTTAGTAAATTTTTTGTAATATCATATCACACTATATTGTACTTTGTTATAATTT